AGGGTTTATTGACGATTCAGGGCCACCGGAAACCCTAAATCCTAAACCCTAAACCCTGAACCCTAAACCCTAAACCCTAAACCCCAAAACCGAAGCTCACCGCCCAAGGAGGAGGAGATCGTAGAAGTGGAGCCAGAGTTTGCCGAGGCATGCGGTTCTATGAAGGGTTCATAACAGGGGGGGTTTAGGATTTTTTTGGGGGTTTGGAGTTTAGTGTTTAGGGTTCATAACACGGGGCTTTAGGATTTTGTTAGAGTTTAGGGGTTTAGGGTTTAGGGTTCATAACAGGGGCGTTTAGGATTTTTGTTTGGGTTTAGGGTTCAGGGTTTAGGGTTTAGGGTTTAGGGGTTTAGGGTATATTAGGGTTTGTTTGACGGCGCTTGCTGAGATGCGAGGCTCACACACGTATCAGCCCGACCAAATCCCAGAATCCGGCAAACCAACTCAGACTTCGGGTACGCAGCTCTCTCAACAGTCAATTCTAAACCTGCTAAAGCTCTCCATCCCTAAACCGATTAACCCGATTTGAATCCCGGCAGGCTGACCCGGAGGCTTACGAGCAGGCCAACGACGAGGCGTGAACGCAAGATCAGATCTTGTTTTTTGCGGAGGATTTGGGCTCATGTTTCCACAGGAGATGATTTCAACAATGGCTGGCGTTACCTATGTTCCCTGTATTACCCTAAGTCTCAAGTCCTGACCCTTGGGGAGCTACAATTGACAAGCACCAAGAACGTCAAATGACATTGGCAACAACTACTACGACGGCTACTGCTGCCGCTGAGTTGTGTCTTCAAGCTTCATAATGCAAACATCCCCGGCTTCTTACCAACACACCGCACTCAAAAAAGATTCCTATCCCTACACACAAGTTGTTCTTCCTCTTGTCGTTCTTGCTGATATGCAAGGCCCACGCGTGTATCAGCCCGGCCAAATCCCAGCAGCCTCTCTCAACATTCAGGTCTAAACCCGCTAAAGCCTCAGCCCTAAACCGATTAAACCGGTTTGAATCCCGGCAGGCCGACCCGGAGGCTTACGAGCAGGCCAACGACGAGGCGTGAACGCTCAGATTCTGTTTTTTGCGGAGGACTTGGGCTCATGTTTCCACAGGAGATGGTTTCAACAATGGCTGGTGTTACCTACATTCCCTGTAATACCTACCCTAAGTCTCAGGTTCTGACCGATGGCAGAAGGAATCCGTGAGAGTACAATAATTTACAAGTCCCAAGAGCGCCAAATGACATTGGCAACTACTACGACGGCTACTGCTGCTGCTAGGTTGTGTCTTCAAGCTTCATGATGCAAACATCCTCGACTTCTTGATTACCACTAGGCACACTGCACTCATAAAGGATTCCTATCCGTTCTTCTTCCTCTTGTCGTGCATGCTGATATGCGAGGCTCACGCGCGTATCAGCCCAGAATCCGGCAAACCAATTCAGACTTCGGGCGCACAGTCTCTCTCAACATTCAATTCTAAACCTGCTAAAGCTCTCCATCCCTAAACCGATTAACCCGATTTGAATCCCGGCAGGCCGACCCGGAGGCTTACGAGCAGGCCAACGACGAGGCGTGAACGCTCAGATTCTGTTTTTTGCGGAGGATTTGGGCTCATGTTTCCACAGGAGATGATTTCAACAATGGCTGGCGTTACCTATACAACTTGTATCACCCTAGGTCCTCGCTGAATGCAGAAGGAATTCGTGGGAGTTGAAAGCCCCAATAATGTCAAATGACATTGGTAGCAACATCATATCATCAGCATTGCTGTCGGCATCGTCGTCGTGGCCGATGTCACTGCATCGTCAGGAGGCATCAACAACAGTTCCCGCAGCTACTGCTACTGCTGCTTCAAACACTGGCCGATGCTGCTATCGTCGTGATGACGACGACGACGACGACGACGACGACGACGACGACGACGACGACCACAATAACAACAACACCAACACCAGCGGCAGCGGCAGCGGCAGCGGCAGCAGCAACAACAACAACTACCACTACCACCACCACTACTGCTGCTATTACTATTACTACTACTGCTGCTGCGGTACCACTACTACTACGACGACGACGACGACGACGCCGACTACTACTATTACTACTACTACTACTACTACTACTACTACTACTACTACTACTACTGCTACTGCTACTACTACTACTACTACTACTACTACTACTACTACACTGCTACTGCTCCTGCTGCTACTGCTACTGCTACTGCTACTGCTACTGCTACTGCTACTGCTTCTGCTTCTGCTACTGCTACTGCTACTGCTACTACTACTACTACTACTACTACTACTACTGCTCTACTACTACTACTATTACTACTACTACTACTACTACTACTACTACTACTACTACTACTACTGTGGTCATA